CCAGGGGGCAGCTCCTGCATTGAGCGCCCCCCCCTCCTCCCGTGGTCAGTGCGTGTCATAGCGAACAGTTGTTCCTGTCGTTTGGTTGTTTGATCACTTAGGCTTTTATATATATAGATAGTCACCATGTTGCACATTAGGTCTCCAGACCTTATTCACCTTATAACTGAAAGTTTGTTTTCTTTAACCAGTATCTCCCCATTTCCCCCCAAGCCCCTGGTAACCACCATTCTACTTGTTACTATGAATTTGATTTTTTTTTAAATTCCACATGTAGATGAGATCGTGCAGTATTTATCTTCCTGTGTCTGGTTTATTTCACTTAGTATAATGCCCTACAGGTTCATCCATGTTGTCACAAATGGCAGGATTTCCTTCTTTGTTAAAGCTGAATAATATTCCAGTGTGTGTGTGTGTGTGTGTGTGTGTGTGTGTGTGTGGCATTTTCTTTATCTATCTGTCCATCAACAGAAACTTAGGTTGTTTCTATATCCTAGCTACTGTGAATGATGCTGCAATGAACATGGAAGAGAGATGTCTCTTTGAGATAGATTTCAGTTCCTTTGGATATAGACCCAGAGGGGGATTGCTGGATCATCTGATAGTTCTATTTTTAATTGAGACTGACTCATTTAGATAGAAGTGTTGAACTTATAAAGTCATGTAAATTTCAGAGGCAAAGTCGCCATTTGGGGCTTCCCTTTGGGGGCAGTGTAAAGCAGAATGAGCTGATGTCTAAGAGAAACAGAGAGAATAGGAGACAATAGACCTTGAAGGCCAGAGACAAAGAGAGGGAGTTGGTGGCTGTCTCGGTGCTGACAGTTTTCTGATCCCTTATTTCAGTCCACTTACCACTTCCTGTTCTTGAGTTCCCCGCAGTTCTTCTGAGTCTTTATAATAAATCCCCCTCGACCTAAGTGGCTTCCTTTCTTTTCTTTTAGATAACACTGTAACATGCCTAATTCTTTTCTCCCCTTCCTCATATTCTCAGCTTAATAAAACCACACACCTTCCACATCTGGAACACACACATATGTACCAGAGACACTTATTTAATACACTACAGCTCAAATATGCCCAGAAAAAGGAGGTTTCTTATTTTTTTCTAGACTTTCACCTGTGTATTAGTTTTCTATTACTGCATAACAAAATGCCCCAAAACTCAGTCACTTAAAACAGTAATAAACATTATCTCATAATTTTGGTGGGTCAAGAATTTGGGAGCAGCTTAGCTGGGTAGTTCTGGGATGGTAACCTAGGGCTGGAGGACCTGCTGCCAGGGCAGCTCACTCACCTTGCTGGCCAGTTGGTACTGGTTGGTGAGAGGCTTTAGTTTTCTGCACATGGGCCCCTTCACGGGATGGCGTGCATGTCCTTATGACGCAGTGGCCGGCTTCTCCCAGAATGAGTAATCCAGCAGGAAGAAACAATCCTTGTTAGGATCTAGTGTCAGAAGTTACAGAGCCCAGCTGGCGTGGCTCAGTGGTTGAGCATCGACCTATGAACCTGGAGACCACAGTTCCGTTCCCGGTCAGGGGCACAGGCCCGGTTGCGGGCTTGATCCCCAGTGTGGGGCATGCAGGAAGCAGCTGATAAATGATTCTCTCCCATCACTGGTGTTTCGGTCTCTCTCTCTCCCTCTCCCTTCCTCTCTGAAATCAATAAAAATACATTTTTTGGGGAAAAAAAGAAGTTACAGAGACCCACTTCTGCCCTGTTCTTTTTATCAGAAACAGGTTACTAAGTCTGGCCCATATTCAAGCGGGGGTGGGGTGGGGGAGGGGGGCTTTTAAGTGTCACCATTTGAAGGGAGACATATCAAATACTTTGTGGACATATTTTGAAACCACCACAACTGTTGGGCTACAGGGGGCGAAAGCGCCCAATCCCATTTTAAATATACATAGTTCAATTTAATTTCATTATTTAAATGGTTCCTTTAGATAAAAATGCTTTATTTTTCATAATGACTCCCAGGGTGGTCCTGTCGCCTCTGAAGGTAACACCCATTTGTATGGAGGACGGGGAGGGCTAATGGGCACATCCTTGTGGCGTGGGTGAGAGAAAGGGCATCTGACTCCATTCAGACCTGGCAGGTTTCCAGCATGATATCCCTTCTCAGCTGATCTCCGGGGAGCCTGTTAGCCTGTGATGCTAAAGCCTGCAGCTGGTGAAATCATGGCCCATTTTTGGCTTCAGTTTCCTAGGAAGTATTGGTCAGCTCCTCTTGCAGATTCAACTTCCCCTTGGCTCTTGCTATGGAGCCACCTTGCCTGGCCATGGCAGGCCCACTGGCTGTTAGTTCAGCAGTGCTTCAAGGGAACCGGGAAGGCTTGGGATACTTGGCTGCTCTGTCTCTGCCTGACCGTGCTGCTGAGGACTTGCCACTGGCCAGAACAGCCATGGCAAGTGCAAGGAATGAGGTGAGGGGCCTGGACAGTGTCTCAAAAGGAAAGCAGAGGCAGAGATCCCTTGCCCCGAGTGCTCCTCTCAACATGGTTGCAATTCATTATGGTATGTAAGCCCCCATAACGACCCAGTCCTAATCTCTGTGAGTTTGTTACCTTACAGGGCAAAAGGGATTTTGTAGATATGATTAAGTTAAAGGGCCTTGAGAAGGGAGAGTAACCAGGATTATCTGGTGGGTCTAACCTAATGACATGGGTTCTTAAAAGAAGCTTTCTAGTCTGCGGTCCAAGACAAAGGGAGATGTGACTATGGAATCATGGTTACAGAGATACAAAGTTGGTCTTGAGGATGGAGTAAGGGGGCTATGAGCCAAGGAAAGTGGGTGGCTGGAAAGCAAGGAAGTAGATTCTCTCTTGATAACCTCCAAAAATGAACACAGCCCTACCGTCACCATCATTTTAGCCCAGTAACACACAGTTCTAACCTGCAGACCTGTGAGGGATTGCATTTATGTTGTTTTAAGCCACTGCATTTGCAGTAATTTGTTCCAGCCACAATTCAAAATGGATACACTCATATCCAACTTTGGCCTAGAGAGAGTCAGGCCAGTGACTGGCTGCTTGTCTGGGTGCTCCTTTATCTCTCTCTCTCTCTCTTTGTCACTAAACCTGAAAGCCAGAGGACAGATGAACTTTCCATGTCCTGCTCCATCAGAGAGCAGTATTTATTACTTTTTCCTCTTCATTTAGACATTAAAGTACAATAAACTCATATGCTCTTCACCTAGATTCACCATTTGTTAACGTGTTGTCATATTTACTTTCCTTTTCTGTGTGTGTGTGCGTGTGTGCGTGTGTGTGTGTGTGTGTGTGTGTGTGTGTGTGGTGTTGTTGTTGTTGTTGAAGTATTTGAAGAAAGTTACTTGTGGAAGTTGAGGATCAAGAAATGCGCTCCCATAAAACTGTCTGCATGCTCTAGGACCCCTTGGAAAGTTTCTACCTGGCCCAGCCTGAAGACCTGCTCTACCGGACTGAACACTGAGTAACCTCTGGTTGATGACAAGGGAAGGCAGAAACAACGGAATTTCAAGAATGGCTTCCAAAACAGTAGCCTGGATCCGAAGCCTGTGGTCTGGATGCACATTCCTGGTTTGAATTTCAGAAGGTGAATATTCCTTCTTTCCATTCCTTTTGTAAGAACTAAATGGTGCCATACTTCCTATTTGTAGGGCAAATTGATTCTGTAGGGACAGGAATAAGAATCATGCAAATCA